TGTAAAGCGTGGGGTGCAGTGGTGTAAAGTGTGGGGTGCAGTGGTGTAAAGTGTGGGGTGCAGTGGTGTAAAGCGTGGGGTGCAGTGGTGTAAAGCGTGGGGTGCAGTGGAGTAAAGCGTGGGGTGCAGTGGTGTAAAGCGTGGGGTGCAGTGGTGTAAAGCGTGGGGTGCAGAGGTGTAAAGTGTGGGGTGCAGTGGTGTAAAGTGTGGGGTGCAGTGGTGTAAAGCGTGGGGTGCAGTGGTGTAAAGCGTGGGGTGCAGTGGTGTAAAGCGTGGGGTGCAGTGGAGTAAAGCGTGGGGTGCAGTGGTGTAAAGCGTGGGGTGCAGTGGAGTAAAGCGTGGGGTGCAGTGGTGTAAAGCGTGGGGTGCAGTGGAGTAAAGCGTGGGGTGCAGTGGAGTAAAGCGTGGGGTGCAGTGGTGTAAAGCGTGGGGTGCAGTGGAGTAAAGCGTGGGGTGCAGTGGAGTAAAGCGTGGGGTGCAGTGGTGTAAAGCGTGGGGTGCAGTGGTGTAAAGCGTGGGGTGCAGTGGTGTAAAGCGTGGGGTGCAGTGGTGTAAAGCGTGGGGTGCAGTGGAGTAAAGCGTGGGGTGCAGTGGTGTAAAGCGTGGGGTGCAGTGATGTAAAGCGTGGGGTGCAGTGGAGTAAAGCGTGGGGTGAAGTGGTGTAAAGCGTGGGGTGCAGTGGTGTAAAGCGTGGGGTGCAGTGATGTAAAGCGTGGGGTGCAGTGGAGTAAAGCGTGGGGTGCAGTGGTGTAAAGCGTGGGGTGCAGTGATGTAAAGCGTGGGGTGCAGTGGTGTAAAGCGTGGGGTGAAGTGGTGTAAAGCGTGGGGTGCAGGGGTGTAAAGCGTGGGGTGCAGTGGTGTAAAGCGTGGGGTGCAGTGGTGTAAAGCGTGGGGTGCAGTGGAGTAAAGCGTGGGGTGCAGTGGTGTAAAGCGTGGGGTGCAGTGATGTAAAGCGTGGGGTGCAGTGGTGTAAAGCGTGGGGTGCAGTGGAGTAAAGCGTGGGGTGCAGTGGTGTAAAGCGTGGGGTGCAGTGGAGTAAAGCGTGGGGTGCAGTGGAGTAAAGCGTGGGATGCAGTGGAGTAAAGCGTGGGGTGCAGTGGTGTAAAGCGAGGGGTGCAGTGGAGTAAAGCGTGGGGTGCAGTGGTGTAAAGCGTGGGATGCAGTGGTGTAAAGCGTGGGGTGCCGTGGTGTAAAGCGTGGGGTGCAGTGGTGTAAAGCGTGGGGTGCAGTGGAGTAAAGCGTGGGGTGCAGTGGTGTAAAGCACTGGACTCTAGAGCAGTGGAGACGAGTTCTCTGGAGTGTAGAATCACGCTTCTCTGTCTGGTAATCCGATGGACGAGTCTGAGTTTGGCGGTTGCCAGGAGAACGGTACTTGCCTGACTTGCCGAGTGTAAAGTTTGGTGGAGGGGGGATTATTCAGCATGACTGCACACCAGTGCACAAAGCAAGGTCCATAAAGACATGGATGAGGAGTGTAGTGTGGAGGAACTTGACTATCTATCTATCTATCTATCTATCTATCTATCTATCTATCTATCTATCTATCTATCTATCTATCTATCTATCTATCTACCTTTCTATCTATCTATAACAATTAAAATCTCCCTTTCTTGATATTTTGTCCAGTTCAATAATTTCTACTGAAAAACATTTGTATTTATACAATAATAATGATAATAATATAAGAAGAAGAATGAATTATAAAATGTATTTAACTGTCATGAAATGAAATGATGCAATTTGCTAATTATTTTGCAAAAAATCGTAAAGGTCCTAAAAACAAAAAATATGATTGCTTATATTTTGGCCTGAACAGTTCTTGACAGTTTAATGAGATTCACACAAATGACTTAATTGTAATTGTGCCTTTAATAATCATTTAGGCTGCGATGTGCCAAAGGCTCTGCTCTTCACAGCCTAATGAGAACTGTGATATAAATCTGATCTACATTTCACAGGCTAACAGCCTCAAAGAGACACAAGAAACGTCGTTTCACAAGGAGCTCCTTTGGTGTGACAATCGATATTTAAAATCACACTGGACTGATGAACTGATTCTGGAAGCAAAGTTGAGGATTTAATGCTGCTTTCAGAACGAGTGCTAGAACAGCAGTTACACTCCCTCCTGCCAGAGAAGCTCACCATTCTTTCACAATAAGGCAAAGAGTCACACACACTCACACACACACACACACACACACACACATACGCTCTCTCTCGCGCGCTCTCTCTCTCTCTCTCTCTCTCTCTCTCTCTCTCTCTCTCTCTCTCTCTCTCTCTCTCTCTCTCTCTCTCTCTCTCTCTCACTCACTCACTCACTCAAACACAAATTTTTCTCTTCTCTAGTTTGCTTCATAATGGTTGGCAAATTTACCTGGCATTATATTACGTTTATTGTCGACGCCGTGATGAATTGCTCAAGAAGATCTTAAAGAATCTTCTAAATGCATATATCATTGCTATTTTAAGATATGAAAGTAATCAAAGGTTTTTATTTTACCTCTAACGATGATGGTAGTGGATTTCTTGGCCGGGTTTCCCACGTTGTTGCTGGCGATGCACCCGTAGAGCCCGGCGTCCTCGGAGGAGACCGCGGGAAGCGTGAGGGTCCCGTCCTTCATCAGGCTCTTCTCCGGCAGAGATCCGGCACTGCTGGTCCAGGTGAGGCTCGGCTCCGGCTCTCCTCCGGTGCTGATGCACACCAGAGACACCGTCTGCCCCGGGTTCACCACGATCGGGTCCTCCACCAACAGCTTAATGGAGGCCGGAGCTGCAGAACGACATGGGAACTCATCAAGGCAAGATTCAGAAGTAATATCAGCTGTAATTTACTTCTGAATGCTGTTCACGGTCAGGGACTATTTTTTTCCAGCGGAAGGAAGGCTTTTAGTGATTTTACTTCATGAAAGTTGCACTAATACATATTTTTTGGCTTTAATATTTGTATTGTGTGGTAACCGTGTTATAAAAGCTATAAGGTACTCGAGGCTAGTGCTGTATCGTGAATAAGTCACGTCTGACTCCTCTTCACGTTGTCCCTAACAACGCCCTTCAGCCGTGACTTAGTCACGATACAGCACTAGCCTCGATTACCTTATTGCTTACTTACTTCACTGTGAGTATATCGGCGCCTGAAGAGCCTCACCTGTTTTATTGGTCAGTCTGAAGACGACTTTGCGGTCAGCGATGCCGCACACGTTTCGTACGGAGGCGATGCAACTGTAGTTGGCGTAGTCCTTGGGCCTCAGGTTCTTCAACTTCAGGATCTTCGTTTCCCCCTGGAGCTCAGAGCGAGAGACAGAGAGAAATGTGTGCAAATGTGTGCTTCAATGCGCTTAATAGAATAGATGCGGCAGAACTGGAATCTGGAAACTGGAAGTAGATTAAGCACGTCCATATTTTCAAATTTCCAAAGCCTGATGCAAAAGTTTATCCAGGACCGAAACCAAACTTTTTATTTATATATAGACATATAATTAAAATATAAAAAATATTATAAAAATGACAAAACCACACAACAAATTTACTAAAATTTTAAATAAAACAAAATTGAAAACAGAAAATATATAAAGAAAAACTAATTCAAACTATTGAGGTGTCTAAGACCAATATCTAGCTACTGGAGTGCATCAGGGCTCAGTGCTGGGACCGCTTCAACAAATTTACTAACATTAAAAAAAAAAAAAAAATGAAAACAGAAAATATATAAATAAAAACTAATTCAAACTATTGAGGTATCTAAGACCCAGCATCTAGCTACTGGAGTGCCTCAGGGCTCAGTGCTGGGGCCGCTTCTCTTCTACATCTACATGTCATCACTAGGATCTGTCATTCAGAAACATGGTTTCTCCCATCACTGTTATCATCTAGCTACTGGAGTGCCTCAGGGCTCAGTGCTGGGACCGCTTCTCTTCTACATCTACATGTCATCACTAGGATCTGTCATTCAGAAACATGGTTTATCCCATCACTGTTATCATCTAGCTACCGGAGTGCCTCAGGGCTCAGTGCTGGGACCGCTTCTCTTCTCCATCTACATGTCTTCACTAGGATCTGTCATTCAGAAACATGGTTTATCCCACCACTGTCATCATCTAGCTACTGGAGTGCATCAGGGCTCAGTGCTGGGACCGCTTCAACAAATTTACTAACATAAAAAAAAAAAAAAAAATGAAAACAGAAAATATATAAATAAAAACTAATTCAAACTATTGAGGTATCTAAGACCCAGCATCTAGCTACTGGAATGCCTCAGGGCTCAGTGCTGGGGCCGCTTCTCTTCTACATCTACATGTCATCACTAGGATCTGTCATTCAGAAACATGGTTTATCCCATCACTGTTATCATCTAGCTACTGGAGTGCCTCAGGGCTCAGTGCTGGGACCGCTTCTCTTCTACATCTACATGTCATCACTAGGATCTGTCATTCAGAAACATGGTTTATCCCATCACTGTTATCATCTAGCTACCGGAGTGCCTCAGGGCTCAGTGCTGGGACCGCTTCTCTTCTCCATCTACATGTCTTCACTAGGATCTGTCATTCAGAAACATGGTTTATCCCACCACTGTCATCATCTAGCTACTGTAGTGCCTCAGGGCTCAGTGCTGGGACCGCTTATCTTCTCCATCTACATGTCTTCACTAGGATCTGTCATTCAGAAACATGGTTTTTCCCATCACTGTTATCATCTAGCTACTGGAGTGCCTCAGGGCTCTGTGCTGGGGTCGCTTCTCTTCTCCATCTACATGTCATCACTAGGATCTGTCATCAGAAACATGTTTTTTCCCATCACTGTTATCATCTAGCTACTGGAGTGCCTCAGGGCTCAGTGCTGGGGTCGCTTCTCTTCTCCATCTACATGTCATCACTAGGATCTGTCATTCAGAAACATGGTTTATCCCATCACTGTTATCATCTAGCTACTGGAGTGCCTCAGGGCTCAGTGCTGGGACCGCTTCTCTTCTACATCTACATGTCTTCACTAGGATCTGTCATTCAGAAACATGGTTTATCCCATCACTGTTATCATCTAGCTACTGGAGTGCCTCAGGGCTCAGTGCTGGGACCGCTTCTCTTCTACATCTACATGTCTTCACTAGGATCTGTCATTCAGAAACATGGTTTATCCCATCACTGTTATCATCTAGCTACTGGAGTGCCTCAGGGCTCAGTGCTGGGACCGCTTCTCTTCTCCATCTACATGTCATCACTGGGATCTGTCATTCAGAAACATGGTTTATCCCATCACTGTTATCATCTAGCTACTGGAGTGCCTCAGGGCTCAGTGCTGGGACCGCTTCTCTTCTCCATCTACATGTCATCACTAGTGTCTGTCATCAGAAACATGCTTTTTCCCATCACTGCTTCGCTGATGACACACAACTCTACTTCTCATTCCAGACAGAGTATCTGACGGGAGCTGCTCGCATCTCAGCCTGACTGACAGACATTTCTTCAACTAAACCTTGTGAAGACAGAACTGTTGTTCTGTGGTCTCGGCCAACCCAACACTTCATCACAACTTCTCCATTCAGCTAGACTCGTCATCCATAACTCCATCCAGGACAGCCAGGAACCTTGGAGTTGTGATTGACGATCAGTTAAACTTCACAGAGCACATTGCTAGAACTGCGCGGTCCTGCTGATTTGCCGTACACAACATTAGGAGGATCAGGCCCTTCCTATCAGAGCTACACAACTCCTTCTTCAAGCTCTTGTTCTCTCCAGACTGGACTATTGTAATGCTCTCTCCTTCCAGCATCTGTCAAACCTTTGCAACTGATCCAGATGCTGCAGCAAGAGTGGTTTTGTGGTGCTATCCATAAGAGGCACTAGGGGTGTAATTATATATCGTGTCACAATATATTTCAATAAAAAAAAGGCAACAATATGTATTGTGGATAGTTCACCCACAATAAAAATGACTGTGTGAGAAAAAAACAAACAAGTTTTCAGAGTTTTAGTGTCAGTACTACATTAAACTACAATATATAATGTTGAATATAATGTAGAATAATGCAATGGGGAATATTTGTGGGTCCTGATAATGCGAAATGTCTGATGATACCAGTAAAAAGTGGTATACATTATTTTAAAGACATCTAGTCAGTGAAAGAGTGCAAGCTTATTCGTCTAAAATATTTCTATTTTCAGCTTCAGAATCATGAATATTGTTATTCTGGGGTCTCTATTGTCCTGTGCTTTGGCTTTCAGCACCAAATCCAAGCCTATTTATTTACACCCATAATGCAATATCAAATTTAGCATTTTAATCAACAGTACATTTTTTGTTAACGTTTTATCATATGTCTTGGAGTATAGCAGTAATATCATATCGTGAGTTAAATATCGTGATATGTATCGAATCGTGACGTGAGCGTATCGTTACACCCCTAAGAGGCACAGTTAACATTTTTATGGTTTTAGTTTCAGTTTTAGTTATCTATAGTAACAATGTTTCAATACATTTAAACTATTTGAATATTGCTTGTTCCACAGCCATATTTAAATGATGTTCATTTCTTTAACAGACAAAATTTTCACAATGAACACAGCTATGCTGATTATAAGCAATTTGAATAAATGCTTTTTAAAAACATGATTATTTAAATCAAATAGATGCAAATTATAATGTTTCTGACCTTGTCTGACCAATATCCATCACGTTAAGTTTATTCGTTTATGCTAAAACTGTGCAATGCAAAATCTCACTGTAAATGTAGGCCTGCACGTGTTTTGAGTGGGTTTGTTAAATAAAAATGCCAGCAACTGAATCCTAATATACAAAACAAAAAACACAGTGCATGAAGGACATGCGTCAGCATTATATGATAAGGCATCATCGCCGACAGCTTTCATCAGCGCCGCGAGTTCATCATTAATCTGTATCTCATTACCGTTCCACTGCAAATCCATTCACTGCGTCGCTCATTTCAAAGGCTACCTTTGGAATTTTAATATGCGGAAACGATAAATGCGTCGGCGGCTCCTTATCGTGTTTCTCCACCGCCATACGGCACCGAAACGCCGGGGGTCTTTAGGCCCGTCGGTCCTGAACGCTTGTAAAGCATCTTCCCATCCCAGAGAAACAGAGCGCTGGCTTTGATGTGGCGTCCCACTCATCACTGTAGATTATAATATCACACAGATAGAGTCCTCACAACTAAGAGCTTCCCTGGCTTTCATATTCCGACGATCATTCACCCAACGTAATTTCATTACGCGGACTGTGTGTATGTCACCTCCTCGTCTGCGTCTGGCTGATAGCGTTCTCGCCGCTCGCCTGTCAAGATCCTGATGGGAAACCAATTGGAATAAAAATCCACAAACGAGATCAGAGAGACAGAAAGAATGAATGTGTCTAAATAGGAGAAGTGTGTGTGTACGTGTGCTGAAGAATAACTGCTATCGGAGAGCTCTATCATTGAACTTTGACGTTTATGTGTTTGATTATTATACGCATATATTTACAATTCTAAGAAGAAAAGGTTCCATATGCTTTCGTCAGAATGGGATAATTTGATGGATTTAGTTTCAGTTAATTAATTCTGTTTTAATTCAAATCGCAATTAGAAAACTAAACAGCTCATAGACATACTTTATGAAATAACCCATTCAATTATTTAAGACATTTGTCTTTAGAACATTTTTGGCATAAAGTGTTCTTTAAAATTAAATCAAGAACCATAGAGTTAAAAATAGAACCTTTTTTAGTTACACTTTATTTTGATAGTCCACTTTAGATATTCTACTATAAGTAACTTTGCAACTACATCGAATGGCAGTCAATAGAATACACTGTTTGCTTAATATCACATTATTCTGATATTTTGAGTAACTTTGCAAGTACAACTCAACTAACAGTCTACTAATAATACTCTAATGAGAGTTAGTTGACATGTAGTTGTAGTCACAGTTAGTGTAATGTCTAAAGTGTGCTATCAAAAATAAAAGGCGTTTTTAAAGATGTACAGATAAAAAATAAACAGAATAGTTAATAAACAGAAGATAACAACCCAGCTAACAGCAAACTTTCCAGTAATGTTAATAGAAGAATTATCTGGTCTATTATTTATACATCATTCATGGAATGTTTTTCTGAATCATTTTATTTGGATGTTGAACATTTTTTAAATGTAGCGGAATGTTTCGGAATGTTCAGGGAACCTTTAAAAGTAACATTATGCAAAATGGAATGTTCATTTAAAAAAAAACTGGATGTTTGAAGATTCAGAGAACCGTAAGAAATAAAGATTTCTTCACTGTAACAAAACGTGTTGTGAGTGAGACTGTGTCTGCAGTTTCTCCCGTCCCGTGACAGACACATAAAGAGGAACAGAGAGCCAGGACGAGTGAGCGAGACTATAGCTGTTCTCATGACATCTACAGCGGAAACAACACGAGCTCCTGACGGCTTCCACTGACACACACACTCTCACGCCGGCCTGAAGTGTGTGTGAAACAGTGGGATGACGTTTAGTGCCAAAGCAAGGCTTCAGACGAGGTGTTGAAGGAAGAGCTAATTACCAGCATCACCTTTAAACAAACATAATCCTCACATACTGATGCTAAACGTCATTAAACTGTCTTCTGCTCACCAAAACTGCGGTTATTTGATCAAAAATACAGCAACAATTATGAAATAGTATTAGAATCAGCTGTTTTCTATGTGAATATACAGTAAAGTGTAATTTATTCCTGTGATCAAAGCTGAATTTTCAGCATCATTACTCCAGTCTTCAGTGTCACATGATCCTCCAGAAATCACTCTAATATGAGGATCTGATGCTCAAGAAACATTTATGATTATTATCAGTGTTGAAAACAGTCATATTTCTGTGGAAACGTCATACGTTTAATTTTTCATGATTCTTTGATGAAAGTTTATTTGAAATATAATCTTTTGTAACATTATTAATGTCTTTACTGTCACTTTTGATCAATTTAATGCGTCCCTGATGAATAAAACCATTCATTTCTTTAATATGCAGTAAAAAAAAAATCACCTAGAAATTGCTAGTAAATTTCACAAATAATTACAAACACACTGAATACAGTATTTTCTTGTAAAACTTACTCCAATAAAGATTTTTAAATTACAGTAGTCTACTTTGATTCTGTACAATGACCATATTCAAGCACTTCAAAGAATATCATGTAGTACATGAATTAATTTAGCAGATATATTACCAAGCAAGAAAATTATATTCTCCGTCCATATTTATTTTCCTGTTTTCAAGTTTCCAGGTCAGAATCTTGTTTTCCCTTTAAATGAACATGTTCTGACCCCGTTGGCAGATGTTCTTGTTTTAAACAAAAACTCAGATTTTTTTCAAGGCTTAATATCTTCACTCATTTTGCTTCTCCAGTAAATGCATCTTGATTTAAAGGTGCCATGTGGAATGTCTGCCAAAAAATAAATTCATACTCCACATATTCCATACCAGATGGGGGCAGTATACCTCCAGAAAGTTGGCCTACTCTAGTCTGTTTTTTAGTTTCGGGTTGTTAATCTTCTAAAACCGTCAAATCGTCCGCTTTGTCCCGCCAAAGCCTATTTTGATCGGTGAGTGATGTAGAATATAATGACTGCTGCGCTTGACAGGGCTTATAACGAGCAGAGAGAGAGAGAGAGAGAGAGAGAGAGAGAGAGAGAGAGAGAGAGAGAGAGAGAGAGAGAGAGAGAGAGAGAGAGAGAGAGAGAGAGAGAGAGAGAGAGAGAGAGAGAGAGAGAGAGAGAGAGAGAGAGAGAGAGAGAGAGCGCCCCGGCCGCGCGCGCGCACTCTCACGTCTTCAACAACACGAGCGCAGTCCTCCTGCTCTCTCTCTCCCTCGCGCATTTTAATCAAATCAATTGACACGATAGTAAGGCCGCAGTTCATTTGGAGATTTTTTTAGAGATTAGAGACTCAATGAACAACATCTCAACACTAAATTATAAAGGCCGGTCTCATATAGACAGGATTGACATCAGGTTCAAGTACGCCCACAAGCCGTGCGAGTTATTCGTGTACTGCAGTGTGGCTGGTGGTTATGTATGTTGCCCGCATACCGCCTCCCATGGCCGAAACTGGTATTACGACACCAGTCGGGCCGGCGCTAGTAATTTAGCATGCTAATTTAGGTTTATATCTCGGCAGCACTATAACTTGTCAATTTTTTAATGACATCATTGCACTTATTTCTTCTCATTCTTTTGATGCGTGTAGCTCATTTTTTGGAAAATTTTACCTCAATTTTTACATAGGGCACCTTTAAGCATGTTCACAAGCTTGCACTGAAAAACAACAGTATTGCTTTCAGCAAGGGCTATACCACCCCATAGTTGGGTTACTCGTTGGGTTATTTTTAACCCAACATTATTAAGTGAGCAGAATGGTACAATAAAAATAAAAAAATAATAATAATAATAATCTAGTTTCCAGTTTAGAATCGTGTTTTCCCTTTGAATTAACATTAATTTTATGACCAAACTCACTTCATTTTGATACATTTCTTCAACGCTTACTATCTTCACTCATGTTGCTTCTCCAGTAAAAGGATCTTGATTTAAAGGGTTAGTTCACCCAAAAATGAAAATGATGTCATTAATGACATTTATAATGGAGGGACAGAAAGCTCTAAAAAAAAATCTAAAATATCTTAAACTGTGTTCTGAAGATGAATGGAGGTCTTACGGGCTTGGAGCGACACGAGGGAGAGTCATTAATGACATAATTTTCATTTTTGGGTGAACTAACGCTTTAATCATGTTCAGCTTGCACTGGAGAACAACAGTATTGCTTTCAGCGAGGGTTACATTCTTACCTGGGTGAAGAAGGGCTCGTAGATCTCCACGCCTTTATCGGAGCCCTGCGAGAGCACGTCTCGTCCGCGGTTCCAGCTGTAGCGGATGGGCGGGTTGGAGTTGGCCACGCAGCGCAGGAACACCGTCCGCTCGTAGTAGAACTGCTCCTTCGCCTCCCCGATGCTCTGATGCACCGTCACCACCGGCTCGTCCAGATCTGACGACACACACAGCGTCTCAATACATCTCACTTCGCATTCACTTTTTATTTCGGACAACAAAAGACCCAAATGACATAAAATGTAAAAATACAATATGTTGCAACATACCGAAAGAAAAAAACAATATCTATATAGTATTATAACAAAAATTTCAATATGTCCGGAAAGGAGCCGGATGAAGCAGAAGCTTTTCTGCCACTAAAACCTATGTAAATATTTGTTTCTGATAAGTGTGTGTCACTTTTTTCCATGGCATATTTTAGCAAACATCGTAAATTCGGTATCAGTCGAAAGCTTATAGTCAATAATTGTATCCGTTAAAACTCATCTTTGATCACCAAAAGGACATTTTGGACCTTTCTTCATGCCTTAAAATATCTTGAATGTAACTCGACACCCTTGTCTCATTTAGTATGCGCGGTTGTATGAATATGCAAATGAGCCCCGCCTCCACTCACTCCCTCAGCTCAGAGATCCACTGGTTGACGATCACACGTTGATCTGATTGGTTACAAGGTCGTTTGTGACGTCAGAAACACCAGCGATTTCAAACCGTGTTTTTGAGACTGTCTTTGGTTCACTGCAGTTTTAAGGAGGAAATACTCAGCAATGCTGTCGACTTATGAACTTACACATAGGGATGCAACGATTACAGATTTTGTAAGTACGATTATTGTCTGAGAAATAATCACGATTTAACGATTATCATGATTATTATGCATCAATTAATTTCACAACACTACTTATGTATAATATCACATGAACACTCAACACTAGATTTGAATGTGTTATTTATTGCTGCCACAACACAGTAAAAAATTATAAAATGACAAACAATAATCAATCTCTTCCTTTGGAATTAAAGAGAAGTGCTTTGTACACCAGCATTTTTCTTTTAAAAATAACAAATTAAGTCAAAGGCTGCAGGGCTCTTTGATTGAAATAGATCACAAAATTATTAAGTGTTTAGTTTGTTCTAAATTTATTTTCAACCTGAGGTAGAAAACTTGAAAACAATATCTTGTTGGTATTTGACATAAAACTAAAATAATACTAATAAATCCCAATGAAAATAAGAATAAACAAAGTATTTGGCTCTATTGAATTAAATGCAAGCTAAATATTAGGCCTATGTATTTCTTTTAAAAGAAAACAAATATAGTCCAAATGTTATCCACCAAAATTATTGTACTTATTTTAATACTCTTTTTTAATTATTAATCCAAATTTTACATGTGCCTTTAGAAAATAATCTTCAATTATAATCGGAAGTTTGAGTAAAAATTATAGAAAGAAACTGAGAACATCTCTCATGCAGTGTTATTAATAACTGAAATGCAGTTAATTGGTAGTCGTCTACACGGCCCTGATCTTATGTTAGTGTTTTACACCGGGCATATTACAACTACAAAGCCTAACATTTACACAACACAGACAGGAGAAAGCAATAGGATATTAAGTTAAATGTTCACTGACTGAAACTCTTGAGAGCACGTCACATTCGGTTTTCCACAGACTTGCGTAACCAAAACATTCCGCTGTTTTTTTGTTGTTGTTTTTTTTACGTTGCACTGGAAGCTGAAAGTTGCACGCCGCGTTCTGCTTTTTCCAAAGCGCTAGGGCGGTTGCGCTCCGGAGGCGTCTGTCGTTGCTCTGTTGGTTCTTGTCACTTGACCCACAGTGCGCTTGCGGCATTCTGAAAAGTTGAGATGTTTTTATCTCGATGCAGCGCGGGCGCGCTTGGAAAAAACGAGCGCGTCGCTTCCATTATGAGCGCGCCTACATTTGAAATAACGAACTTGAGCGTGCTGGTATATATTGCGTGCAACAGTAGAAATAAGTTCATTAGATTCTGCTTACAATTTATACTATGGTGTATCCATGGAGTAATGATGTGTAACACACACACACATATATACACAGAAGTTTGAGGACTACATGAGGAGAGCCCGTTTTCTTCATGCAACGATTAAAAAATTAGGAAACTTATGACTTTTGTGAATCATTTGAACTGGGTAATAATAATAATGTTTTTTAATTGCACAAAAAAAACATTGAATACATCACGATTCTGTAAAGTTGTGTATGATAATATATAGTGCGTCAACGTTTTCTATCTTGCCTCAGGGTGGGAAGCCCCTCACGTTACATTCTTGAGCCCGCAAAAGACGCGATCTGTGAACAGGCCCTTAAGGTGTTTTTTTCGGTGGAAATAGAGCGTCGCTGCTTAGTCCCTCTGCCATAGTGGTTGACGAGCACGGCACTTTAAGCTGGTGCACCGCCGGTGTAACTTTGTTTTCGTTTTGTGTTAGGTGCAAAAGTTCCGTTCCATGCAGAACACTCGGTGTAGCATAGTCTTTACGATTAATTAACCGTGACGTTTTAAAGCGCGGTTAATTGCGAAATCCGGTAATCGCTGCATCCCTACTTACACATGGGTTGAATTTACACATAGTTTCAGCACAGCGCCAGTTCTGTATGCTTGTGAATCTGCTCGATAAAGATTTCCTCCGCTGTCACAGAGAGTGAAACACTGCGCCTGACGACATCACTCAGCGCTTTCATCGGCTCTTCCGAGAGGAGAATCATCTCCGGAGCGGCCGGATTCACTCTCGTTCCTCTGGAGGACAGACTGACACTGTTGATCAATGAGCAGACAGAGCGATCCTTCACGCGGGGGACGCTGAACACACACCAGCCGTGTGTCCTCCGCACACACACACCAGCCGTGTGTCCTCCACAAACACACACCGGCCGTGTGTCCTCCACAAACACACACCGGCCGTGTGTCCTCCACAAACACACACCAGCCGTGTGTCCTCCACAAACACACACCAGCCGTGTGTCGTCCCCAAACACACACCAGCCGTGTGTCCTCCACAAACACACACCGGCCGTGTGTCCTCCACAAACACACACCGGCCGTGTGTCCTCCACAAACACACACACCGGCCGTGTGTCCTCCACAAACACACACCAGCCGTGTGTCCTCCACAAACACACACCAGCCGTGTGTCCTCCACAAACACACACCAGCCGTGTGTCCTCCACAAACACACACCAGCCGTGTGTCCTCCACAAACACACACCAGCCGTGTGTCGTCCCCAAACACACACCAGCCGTGTGTCCTCCACAAACACACACCAGCCGTGTGTCCTCCACAAACACACACCGGCCGTGTGTCCTCCACAAACACACACACCGGCCGTGTGTCCTCCACAAACACACACCAGCCGTGTGTCCTCCACAAACACACACACCGGCCGTGTGTCCTCCACAAACACACACCAGCCGTGTGTCCTCCACAAACACACACCGGCCGTGTGTCCTCCACAAACACACACCAGCCGTGTGTCCTCCACAAACACACACCAGCCGTGTGTCCTCCACAAACACACACCAGCCGTGTGTCCTCCACAAACACACACCAGCCGTGTGTCCTCCACACACACACACCAGCCGTGTGTCCTCCACAAACACACACCAGCCGTGTGTCCTCCACAAACACACACCAGCCGTGTGTCCTCCACAAACACACACCAGCCGTGTGTCGTCCCCAAACACACACCAGCCGTGTGTCCTCCACAAACACACACCAGCCGTGTGTCCTCCGCACACACACACCAGCCGTGTGTCCTCCCCAAACACACACCAGCCGTGTGTCCTCCGCACACACACACCAGCCGTGTGTCCTCCACAAACACACACCAGCCGTGTGTCCTCCACAAACACACACCAGCCGTGTGTCCTCCACAAACACACACCAGCCGTGTGTCCTCCACAAACACACACCAGCCGTGTGTCCTCCGCACACACACACCAGCCGTGTGTCCTCCACAAACACACACCAGCCGTGTGTCCTCCACAAACACACACCAGCCGTGTGTCCTCCACAAACACACACCAGCCGTGTGTCCTCCACAAACACACACCGGCCGTGTGTCCTCCACAAACACACACCAGCCGTGTGTCGTCCCCAAACACACACCAGCCGTGTGTCCTCCACAAACACACACCAGCCGTGTGTCCTCCACAAACACACACCGGCCGTGTGTCCTCCACAAACACACACCGGCCATGTGTCCTCCACAAACACACACCGGCCGTGTGTCCTCCACAAACACACACCGGCCGTGTGTCCTCCACAAACACACACCGGCCGTGTGTCCTCCACAAACACACACCAGCCGTGTGTCCTCCGCACACACACACCAGCCGTGTGTCCTCCACAAACACACACCAGCCGTGTGTCCTCCACAAACACACACCAGCCGTGTGTCCTCCACAAACACACACCAGCCGTGTGTCCTCCACAAACACACACCAGCCGTGTGTCCTCCACAAACACACACCGGCCGTGTGTCCTCCACAAACACACACCAGCCATGTGTCCTCCACACACACACCGGCCGTGTGTCCTCCACAAACACACACCGGCCGTGTGTCCTCCACAAACACACACCAGCCGTGTGTCCTCCACAAACACACACCGGCCGTGTGTCCTCCACAAACACACACCAGCCGTGTGTCCTCCACAAACACACACCGGCCGTGTGTCCTCCACAAACACACACCGGCCGTGTGTCCTCCACAAACACACACCGGCCGTGTGTCCTCCACAAACACACACCAGCCGTGTGTCCTGTGTGTGTGTGTGTGTGTGTGTGTGTGTGTGTGTGTCTGTGTCTGTGTGTATGTGACTGAGTCTCTTGTGTGTGTGTGTGTGTGTGTGTGTGTGTGTGTGTGTGTGTGTGTCTGTGTGAGACTGAGTGTGTGTGTGTGTGTATGTGTGTGTGTCTGTGTGTATGTGACTGAGTCTCTGTGTGTGTGCGTGTGTGTGGATAATTGAAGAAACTGACATTTTGGCTTAATTGTGTGTTTTGTCCTTTTAAGAGCTGTCCGAAACGGCTTTCTGTGCACACGAGTGTGTGTGTGTTTGTGTGAGTATGTGACTGACTGTGTGTGTGTGTGTGTGTGTGTGTGTGTTTGTGTGTGTTTGTTGTGTGTGTGTCTGTGTGAGACTGAGTGTGTGTGTGTGT